AATTTCCCAATAGATTTTGTCTGTGAATAAAAGAAATTAACAAAGTGTTTACAATAATTGTCAAGGCAAAGTTGATTATAACACAAATTTCTTTGTAGTGTCACTATTCTGTCAGTAACATGATTCTGGCCACTACACACACACACACACACACACACACGCGCGCGCGTGCGCAGGCAGTGGGTTTTTTGTTTGCTTGTTTGTTTGTAAACCACATGGTAACCACAAAAATATCTAGAGCAGAGACACAAAACAAAAAATGGTTGGTAGGGGTGGGGCAAATGAACAAATCACCATGAACAACTATCAGTTTAAGAAGGTAGACAGATCAGAAGGAAAACGGAGTTATAAAAAAACCAGAAGGCAAGATATAAAATGACAGCAGTAAGTCCTTACATATCAATAATCACCTGGATTAAGCTCACCAATCAAAAGGCACAGAGTAGGTGGAAGAATTTTCTTTTTAAGGACCCAACTACACGCTGCCTACAGGAGACTCATTTCCGCTCTAAGACACACAGAGGTTCAAAATGAAGGGATGGAAGATAATATTCTAAGTAAGCAGGAGCCTAAAGAGAGCAGGTGTAGTCATATCAGACAAAATAGATTTCACGCCAACAATGGTTACAAGAGACAAATAAAGTCATTATCTAATGATAAAGCAGTCAATACATCAAGAGGATATAACAACTCTAATGATATATCCCCCCAATACCCAAGCACCAAAACATGCAAATACTAACAAATCTTAGGGGACAGATATACAATAAACAATATAGTAAGGGACTTCAATATCACATTATCAGAAATGGATAATCAGAATCAACAAGGAAATGTGGGAATTGAGCCATACTTGAGAACAAATTGACTTAACAGACATACAAAGAACATTCCACCCGATAGCAGCAGAATACACATTCTGCTGCTGCATTTGGAACATTCTCCAGCATACATCATGACAAGACACAAAAATTAGCAAGTTTAAGAAGACTGAAATCATACCAACTATCTTCTTTAACTGCAATGGTATGGAACTAGAAATGAACAAGAAGGAGAGAGATCTACAAATATGTGAAAACTAAACAACACTCTGAACAACCAATGGGTCAAAGGAGAAATTAAAAGGGAAATAATTATCTCAAAACCAGTAGAAATGGAAATACAGCATGTCAAATCTTGAGGAATGCAGCAAAAACAGTTCTGAGAGGAAAGTTTATAGCTATAAATGCATATATTAAGAACTTAGAAAAGTCTGAAAAAAAAAAACCCAACCTAAATCTACTAGTACACCTTGAGGAAGAGATGAACAACAAATTAAGCCCAACATAGAAAGGAAATAAAAATCAGAGTGGAAATAAAATAGAGACCAGAAAAACAGTAGAAAGGATCAACAAAACTAAAAGCTGGATCTTCAAAAAGAAAAAAAATGACAAACCTTTATTACTTACTAAGAAAACAGAAGACTCAAATAAAAAATATTAGAAATGAAAGAGGAGATATTACAACTGGTACTACAACTATTCATAGGAACAAGAAATTACTATCAACAATTATGTGGCAACAAATTACATAATCTAGAAGAAATGGTAACATTTCTTACCTACCAAGACTGAATCAGGATGAAACAGAACATCTGAACAGACCAATGAAGAGTAAACAGATTGGATAAGTAATCAAAAAATTCCCAATACACACACACACACACACACACACACACACACACACACACACACCAGGACAAGATGGCTTCACTGGTGCATTCTATCAAACATTTGGAGAAGAATTAACACCAAGCTTCCTCAGATGCTTCCAAAATAGCAGGAAGGGGAAATACTTGCAGTGTCATTCTACGAGGCCATCACTACCTTGATACCAAAACCAAATAAGGATGAATATAGATGCAAAAATTCTCAAAAATATTAGCAAACTGAATTCAGGAACACATTAAAAAGGTTATACACCAAGACTAATTGGGATTTATCCCTGGATGCTAGGAGAGTTAACATATGTAAATCAATAAATGTAATATATCACATAAATAAAATTAAAGATAAAAATCACATGATCATCTCAATAAATGCAAAAAAAAGTATTTGATAAATTACAGCATCCTTTCATGATAAAAAAAAAACCCTTAAAATATAGGGTATAGAAAGAACATACTTCAACATAATAAAAGCCATATCCAACAAACCCAGAGCAAACATTATATTCAATGTCAAAAAACCCACAAAAACCTGAAGCTTTTCCTGTAGGATCAGGAACAAGAAAAGGGTGCCCACTTTCCTACTCAATACTCTATTCCAGGGGTCCTCAAACTACAGCCCGCGGGCCACATGCAAATACAAATATTGTATTTGTTCCCGTTTTGTTTTTTCACTTCAAAATAAGATATGGGCAGTGTGCATAGGAATTTGTTCATAGTTGTTGTTTTTTTAACCACAGTCCGGCCCTCCAACAGTCTGAGGGACAGTGAACTGGCCCCCTGTTTAAAAAGTTTGAGGACCCCTGCTGTATTCAATATAGGAGGTCCTAGCTAGCTCATTTAGGCAAGACAAAGAAATAAAAAATGTTCAGATTGGAAAGGAAAAAGTAAATTGTTTGTATTTGCTGGTATGGTTTTGTATATAGAAAATCCCAAAGAGTCAACCAAAAAAGTGTTGGAACCAATTAGTAAATTTTCAGGATAAAAAAAAGTCAGCATACAGAAATGACTGGTATTCCTTTACACTAATGATGAAACATCTGAAAAAGAAAATATCCCATGCACAATAGCACCAAAAACAGTAACACAGGAATAAATTTAACCAAGAAAGTGAAAGATTTGCAGACTAGAAACTGTGTGACTGCTGAAAGATATCAAAGACAACATAAACCAATGGTGAGATATCCCATGTTCATGAATCAGGAGAATTAACATTGTTAAGATGTCCTTACCACCCAAAGTCTATCAATGCAATTCCTACCAAAATTCCAATGGCATTTTTCACAGCAATCTAACTTCTATGTATTTCTCCAGAGAAAATGAAAACACTGATTCTGAAAGCTATGTACAGCCCCATATTCACTGAAGCAGTTTTTATAAGAGCCAAAATATGAAAACCTAAGTGTCCATCTAAGGATGAATGGATTTTTAAAACTGATGTATATATGCAAAATAGAATATTATATGTCCATACAAAGAATGAAATTTTCCATTTGTGACAACCTGGGTGGACCCTGAAGACATTAGGTTAAGTGAAATAAGTCAGAAAGACAAATAACATATGATCTCACCTACATGTGAAATCTAAAAGTTGCTCATGCCATTATCTCAAATAGATTAATCTGCTTATTATTTAACTTCAGTTATACAAAGCATATGACCAACCCTTTCACAAAAAGTAGAAAGCATAATAACCCTCCATGCTGAGTGGGTTAACTGGCCAGCAATACCCCCCATTGCAGGGAGAGGAATCACTATAGAATGAATGAACAATTCCATCCAAGAACACCTACATATTCTTTTTTTTAATTACCTTGGTCTTAAAAAAAAAAAGGAAGTCTAAAGAAAAACATTTAGAATCACTTAAGGTTATTTTTAACTTATAAACTTGAAGGGGAAGAATTCAGAGTGTTTTGGCTAAATACAAAAATAATTAGAAAGAACTATCTCATTTTCCCTAATTGACTACCAAGTTTTGCCCCTTTAATTTTTAGAAGCCCATCTCCTCATAAGGATCTTCTGGTTGACCAGTTTTATGATACTTAATCCAGAAAAGAAAGAGCTCTTTGATGGTTTTGCTTTCCCTTTTAGGCAAAGGAGGAAACTTCCAAGCCAAAAGCTGATGAAAAAAATACAAGTTAAAGTTCACACTATTTGGTAAGTTGGATGTTTGTTGCAAATGAAGGCAACGGTATCTTCTAGGCGGGAAAAACTAAGTCTACTCCTTGAGTATTTCATGTTCTCAACTATTGGCATGAAATGCACATTGCAAAATCTATAGAGTAATTCTCTGAAAAGCACTAAATGGGATGATTGTGCTGTTGAAATATTAAAAAACAATCTTATAATAAGAGCTCTTTAAAGTATTAGGCCAGGGTCTTGAAGAAAATGACCATCTAAGTCTTGCTGACTCTTTGAAACCCAAATGCTCATAATTTTGCAGATTACTGTGGCAAAGCAAAATTAGCATGTTGTATTACCTCTTATAGTAGAATGCCCCTGTGTTATTGATACCAAGACATGAAGGGTGAGGAGAAGTACCCCTTAAGGTCTGGTGGAAATTACAGGGTTTTTGAAACCAAGGGCAAAGGAAAAGATTGACTACTTTTGGCCAAATACTATGTTTGATTATACGTTATGGTGACTCAGGAGCTTGCATTGATGAGGGAATCTCTGAGATCTATCTTGAGAGCTGAACCCTTAGCTTGAAAAAGAAGAGATCTTATTCTAAAGTATAAAAGTTTATAACTGCTTGCCAAACAAAGCCTAAAGGAAATAAAAATACAAATTTTTCTCACCATGTTCCACTTTTAGTTCCCATAATGAGGGAGGTATGCTAATGAGAACTACTCTAAAGACTCCCTCCAAAATTTAAAAAAAATTATATGAATAATCCACTTTCATGTTTACTTCTAGGAAATTCCTTCTTGTCTATATATATATATGCTTTTGCTAAATGTTACATTTATTATGCCTTGTAACAACAACAAAAAAACTACATACCAAAGTGGTTCACTGGATTTTTCTCTGAATTTTTCAAGGTATCTACATGTAAAATCTTCGCTGGTGGTTGGTGACTTCTGAAGAACAAAAGGCTTTGACAACGAATTTTTCTGGGTGGCTTTTGGACAGTGATCTTTGTTGAGTTTTTTGACATCCTAAACGTTGGTTTGTTATTCTTTTCCCAGAAAGTGAATTTGCCTGGTTCACCTGTGCTATTGTACTGAGTATTGATAAACTTTGAATTTTTAAAAATTGCCTGCAGTTGGGAGAGAAGGAAACTTTATATTTCTAAGAGATATATTTGATAGTTTCTTAAAGCAACACACACACAAAAAAAATAACAGGAAAAACCTTTGCAAAATTTTGCACATTCTACACGCAGTGCCTGTAAATCTCATTAGTATTTTTGGTTTGCACTTAATTTGTTGTTATTGTTAGCATTTGGAAAACAATGCTGTAAACATTCGTCAATGTTCTGATTTCTCATTACCCCTTTCCCCTTGGGCTTTTGAACTGTACTTGATGTTTCTCTGGGTTAATGTTTATAAGCCCATTAAATATTGTACATCGGGCACATATCTCCTCTTGGGCTGCTAATAATGAATTGATAGGTAACCTGGACAGACCAGAAAGCACTGCGCCTCTTTTCAGGTTAAACTCTTTGCCAGAGGTTAGGACTTATGCACCTTATAGCCGCGTAAAACATACTTACTGAGACTTGAATCAAGTCAGAAGAGCAAGAGATACAGACTATATTTCACTGCATAGCAAGTTCCAAGAATAAAATCTACTCAGAATATTCATATGGCTTGAACTCTGTTGGTTTACTATGTTACGCTGTGCTTCCACTCACTCTATATAAAACCTGAGTAGCTGTTGTTTGCTTAGTCTGTTGCACTGTATAGCACCTGGCTTTACAGGAAGTTAGGTTTACCCAATACAAAACCAAACTTCTGCTTTAAAAAAAGAAATCTGGAATTTAAAACTTCGCTCCCTTCCCCCTCACAGAAACTTAAGAACTAGGCTCTGTTGTCCTGCAACTTCGAATGGTTTCTTAGATCTTTCTGAATTGCTCATGAACATAGCACTGAGGTCATTGATGAGATTTTGATAAATAATTTTATCTTTACTTCCCGGTAGTGAATGCAGGAAAAGATATCAGGTACATATCATACACTGATTTGGAATTTCTTATTTCAGAGAGCACAGCCTTCCTTAGCCTTTGTGTGGAGGTTTTATTTATTAGGACCTAGCTGACTTCAGTAAATATATCACCACCAATACTGTCTATTAAGGGGGGGAGAGACACAAAAACAATAACACTGCCTATAATGGGCGTCAAATTTTGTTAATACCCTTATAAATTCTTTTTAAAAATCATGCAATACCTATGGGATTTCAAGCTTCACCCACTTTAAATGCTATGTCTGTCTCATCAGAGACACGGGGCATTTTTCTATTATTCTACGTCTGGGAAATATAAGCCAGTGTTATGGTGACTGAACAGACCTCTTCAAGGCACTGACAAGAAAATAAAACACATGTTTCCTGAGGGATTTTAACTATGTCTCTAATTCTTCCATTTGGGTAGTACAAAGTGGGGTGTTTTTGTTTGTTCAAAAAGGTAAAACCTTGGACACTGACAGATGTGTTTGCAAGGATATGGCTGCAGTATTATTAATTTGATGCATATATAGTATTTTTAAACAACATACCAAAATCCTGAGATTTAAGGAATGCCTGTAAAAGTAAACATTTAAGGTACTCTGAATATGCTTTTTTTTGTTTATTAGAAATGTCTTCAAGAGTTGGGTGTTTGTAATTAATGATGGCTTGAGTCAGCTTCAGTATCCAAAGCAATCCTTTTCACCCATCTAATTAGGAGGAAATAATTGCAAATATCTGCTTACAGGTAAATTATAACCTTTTATTACCAAACAGGTTTTGCACATTGTTGTGGCAATATTGTGTCCATTTAGGAATGGACTTCTCCAAAAGCAATGGAAAGTAGGTTCCTCAGGTGACCAAACTGAAGATCACTATTTTCACATTTCGTATTTCATTAACCAAGATGTAAAATACAATTAAAAATATTTTACACTCAAATCTTGGCTTTGTATGTTTTTGGAAGGAAAATGCCTGGGGTAGAAATTACCAGTGATTTCTGTTTCTGTTTCTCAAACCATTAAACCATGCAATATGTTTAAAAAAGGAACTGTAAATGCATTTAGGTCCAGAAAAGTCACTATTCCTCATGTATCAGAACACATTTTGACATTTTCCCTATCACATTCCTTTATCTTAAATTCTGCGGTACATTAAAAACTTCATAAAAGACTTCTCACTTAGAGGAATATAAGCAAATATTTTCAGTTTCACAATATATCGTCATTTACAGAAGACAGCAATGATTTACTGGCAATAGGTGGCAATAATGAGTAACTCGGGAATTGTAAACTAGGCCAAATAACGAGCAGGGAGGGGAAGCAGCACCTACCTAAGGACCAACAGCTCTCAGGTTCAACTTCAAGCGACAGGTTCCTTCTCTAGACCTGAAGGCACTCTGCTGTTTCAGAAGGGACACTATCGGTCAGGATCCCTGAGGAGTAGATGACACTCCAATTAGGATTACTTGAGGAGGGTGTCATACACGTTGGTGTTTTGTTTTTAAGCAGAGGCAGGGCAGGGACATATGGAAACCACAGGTGCAGCCATGACTAGTAAAAGCCAGGCTGCCACTTCTCCCCTCATCCTGAGGGGATGAGAAGGAAGCAGTTGCTAGAAGGCAGAGATGGGGGAGGCTCAGTGGGCAAAGGGGCCACCTCCAGAGCGGGAGACCTTCAGTGGAGGCCAGCCTGAGGCAGCCTGAAGGGAACTCGGGGAGTACACCCACCTCCTCTCTCCCACCCCAGCTCCAATCTGCCTTCCCTGGGAGACTGACCACAAGCCAGAGGGCCAGGAAGCCCGAGGAGGTGGCCCCACGTTCGCCCCAGGGCATGGGCAAAGAAGAGAAGGTAGAAGCAGATCAGACATCCTGGCTTTAATTGAGTGTGTCTATTTAATGTGCGTTCTGTATATACACACAGATGCTAACTTAACCTTTTAAAAACATGGTATCTAAAAGGCAGATCCAAATGGTCACTGTTAGTAGTTCCCACCATTCACAGCGTTCCCAGGAGACTAACAAAAACAGTTTCTGAATGACAAACACCTGGGAGGGAAGGGTTTGGAGGCTGTGGGGCTTAAGTATAAAATAAAAAATAAGAATATGGTACTTTACTCTTCAGCAGTGAGAAACCCACCACGTGGGTTTACGTTGCGGGCAACACCTGTAAATGAAACACACAATAGAAATAACGCATTGATGGAAAAATTAACAGCCAGGCTTTTCACAGGACCGGTCAAATGAGTAAGAAGTTAAGAAAAAGGAGGTGTCTTCAGTGGGGAGCCCAAACAGCCATCTTTAGGTTGAAGGTATTCATATTCAACAAAATGTGGGTGATCAGAGATCACAGGAACCGACTAGTCACGGACTGTTAAAGCAGTTCGAGATTTTGGTTTTGGAGCCACACTCTGATTTTATCGAAATTCTTATCCATCCAACGTATGTTTTCCTCAATGGTTTCAATTGTCTGTTGGACACAACGGAGCTGAGAACCGTTTTCTTTCAAAGAGCTGAAGAATTCTTTTACCTTGTGAGAAAAAAAAAATGAGTTTTTAAAATGTTGCTTTATTACATTATACAAGTCCAGGCTCGTTAAAAGAAAACTGAAGCCAAAATTCCAGCATTTGTCAAAATTCTATACGGAAGGCAGTGCCAGGTGTCTGGATACGATTATGTACACAAACTGAAGTTGTATGAAATGAGCTCATGCCTCATGATGTCAAGTTGTGTGTGTTTTTCTCTGCAGTTTTTTAGTTTATTCACAGTTGCCAGATTCTAAAAGACTTCACTGTTTACCACTTTATAATTAAGGTTTAATTGAGTGTGTCTATTTAATGTGTATTCTGTTATAGACACACAGATGCTAACTTCATTTTTTTAAACATGGTATCTAAAGAGCAGAATGTGCAGAGTGTCCTCTTTGCCAAGCAAAACAGTTTCAACCACATAAGTGTAGTCGTTCTCCACGGACCTGGCCTTGTGTGTGATTATAGAAACACTTTGGGGAATGGGGTTCTTAGCAAGTTATGGTGGTAATACCCCAAACGTTGCCAAGTTTTTATTATCTTAATCCACAATTCAGGTATTGTTCCCTTAAGATAAAATCCACACAAAGTTCCCCATAGTTTTAAAGAGATAAGAAACTCTTGGCTCCCTCCACGAAAATAGATTTTTGTTGTTTCATCGCTGGGTATCTGGACCCCTTTAAGCTCACAGGAGGAATAGGCCGGCTTTGCCACACCATTGATCATTGTGCTACTCTGTTTCACCTTAAAGGGTTATTAACCTTTTCCCATAAATTTTCACAGCATTAATCCATCAATTTTTGATTTTGTAGACAGAAAGCAAGTCTAGACCAAGATGTATTGTCTATTCAGCATGGATTCCAGACAGTTAATTCCTTAAAAAAAAAAACACTAAAAAAATACCACCACTATGCCATAATATCACGAGTTTGAAAATAAGAGGGGGTAAAAATAGGTTTTTGAAAGACCAAATCCCAATTTTAAATGATGCAAGGTGGTTTCAAAATTATCCCAGTGCAACTTTTCAATGAGCTTAGAGGCATGCCCTCCTTTGCAGCAGCCTAGAAAACACTCTGCTTCTCTGTCCCAAGTTGCAGCTCAACCTTCTTTCCCCCTATCAGAACTCAAGATTAATTGATATTCAGCTAAAAAATCACTCTGAGCACTCCTCAACAGTCAGACCTCATCGACAGTCTTACCCCTTGGTCAAACTGTCTAAACCTGAAGGAGCCCATCACGACAGTACCACTAAAGAACACCTACAAGACTGGCAACAAAACCAGTTTTAACACGTGCTCTTAAATTTTTTTTCTGACCCCCGAAGTCTCTCTCCTATATGACCTGATTTGGGAAACGCAGCATGTCATCTGAGTATTTGATTCAAAACTGCCTCCTTGAGAACATGTCCTGTGCAACAAGCAGCATGATACAGGGAAAAACAGGTTTACCCTAACTTGTTTGACCTTGAGCAAATAATTTAACTTCTCTGGGACTCCGTCTCCTCATTGGTTAAATGAGGGTCATCTCTACATTGCAGAGGATGTAGTTATAGAATGTGGTAAGGTGCAGAACCTAAAACCCAGCTTGTGTCAGGGCTGCAACCTCATCCATTTAGTCACGCCTACTGACACAGGTACTTATTCAGCCCTTGCCTTAGTTACTGTGCTAGAACTGAGGATGTGGCGGTGAATCGAATAAGCACCCTACGCTCAGAGAGCTTACAGTCTCCCTGGAAGACAGGCAGTAAACTTTGATTAATATAAACTGTGTAATAAACTAGGGCTAGGACAGTAACTGTGGAGGGGGTGGCCTGCTACACACAGAGTGGTCTGGAAAGGTGACCCTCGAGCTGGAACCTCTAAAGCAGCGGTTCTCAACCTGTGGGTTGCGACCCCTTTGGGGGTCGAATGACCCTTTCACAGGGGTCACATAAGACCATTGGATAACACATATATAATTACATATTGTTTTTGTGATTAATCACTATGCTTTAATTATGTTCAATTTGTAACAATGAAATTGGGGGTCACCACAACATGAGGAAGTGTATTAAAGGGTCGTGGCATTAGGAAGGTTGAGAACCACTGCAAGGATAAAATGAGCCTTTCCAGCGAAAAGTTGGGCAAAGAGCCAGCCGGGCAGACAAAGAAAGTGCAGAGCCTTTGAGATCAGAGAAATACTGGTAGTTGGTGGCCCAGGAGCAGGGGGAGGCTGAGTGCCTGGAGTATTGAGAGATAGTGAACAAGGAGAGCAAGTGAGAACTGGCTGGAGTGGTGGACAGGAGCCAGGTCATCCCAGTTTGGGCACACAGGAAAGAGGTCTGGAATTTACTGCAAGAACAATAGGTGGGGTTACAAGAAGGGGGTCAATTCAGTTTTAAATGTGGAAAGTGGTTTCGTTAATGGCAAGTGGCAGGAGGGAGGCCAGTTAGGAGGCGATCACCATAGACCAGACTTTTTAAATAAGAAAAGCTTGTATGGGGTAAGTGGCAGAGAGAAGTGCAGAGTTATGATGTATATGCCACAGACAGGGCCGACAGGACTCGGGGATGGATTAGATGTGAGGGGAAGGCAGGGCTCAGGAGGACTCCTATGTTTTAAAAGGCAGTAGGACGCTCTCTATGATGGCAGTATCTCAGGCTTCTTCATTTCCATGTCCTGCCTCAGTTTGTGCGCCTGATGTTTCCTATGCACACAACACTCTCCTCCTGGCTACCTGCATTTCCTTTGATGTCCACTGAAACGTCTCCGAGTCATCCTAGAAAACATAGCACCACTCCCCGCCCCAGGCACTCTCTATCCTTACCTTGCCTTAGTCCAGTGGTTCTCAACCTTGGCTGCACATTAGAATCACCTGGGAATCTTTTTAAAAT